TTTCTGTCCGGACACATGACGTACCTCTACGTGCGATGCAGGTTATTCCTAAGTTATTTTCAGGTAATTTCTGGGTTATTTCAATAATACGGAAATAACCCAGAAATAACCCAAAAATAAAGACCGTGGGTTATTTCTGGATTATTTCCGAATTATGAAAAATAACCCAGAAATAATCTGAAAATAACCCAGGAATACCCTGCGCCGCATATAACGCTACGTCAGGAGTCCGCTCAGAAAAATTTTTGCTTTCCTCAGAACTTCCATCTTTGTCAGCATTTACATACATACCCACCCAATTCCTTTCTATTTACAGATCTAACATCTAAACATTACCTTTTTATATTTATACCACCCAAATTTTTCATCATTTCACAATTTCACATCAGAACTAGTAGTGTATCGCAAGGTGGCCCATCCGGATTACACTTCCGGAATAGTCATGATGCGGCCAGTGTATAGCAAGGCGGCCCATCCAGACCATCATCCAGACATGCAGTTGTTGCACGTAATATTTGCTCAAGATGGCATATAGGTAAATATATAAATACATAATAAGTGAGTGGTGTGCAAGTTAATCTTCCAAACAGACAAATTAAATGACATCTGAAGTCTCCAATGAGGTTTGCAGCTGTATCTTAGAAGGCATCCCCAGCTGTATCATATTAAATATGAACACTTTGGCCCACTCTTCTTCGTCCTAAAGTGGTTTCAGCCTATCACCTCCGCACCTTCTTCTCATCCTTTTTGTCATATAATCATTCCACAATTTCAAAATGACTCATTGGACATGTATATGCACAGGAATTAAGCAGTATGCAAGCAAATACCTACACACATATATATATAGACTAATAGATGGGCTGTTTAGTTATCATTTGAGTTATCATTTGAAGCCAAAAAAGCAAAAAACAGTGAGACAATATGGAAGTCTGCAATTACAGCAAGCAGCAGAAGCTGTGGCTGTTGTCAAAAATGGTTGTTTGTTGTGTAATTTGTGCAGAGTCGGTGCGTCACGGGCTAACGCCGCCGAGCACTACGAAGCTGACGGAGCTCTTCCCACGACATGGGTATGAGGACAAGTTCTTAGATTTTTATGGGGGGAAGAATGTGCAGAAGGTGAATAATGGCTCTGCTGTAAATCTCCTGCTTGATAAGTCTTCAGGTTTGTGGTGCTGATAGATTAATGTTTTTATTTTCTTTTTTTTAATTGAATGGGGAATATGTTTGTTGTTTTGATGTTGGTTTTTTGAATGTATAGGGTCGGGTTATAGGTCGAAGGATGTATATTATCATGGTTTTTTCAGTGCTGCCATCAAGCTTCCTTCTGGTTTCACGGCTGGAGTTGTGGTGGCCTTTTATGTGAGTTTTTTCTCGCGCACCCTGTGAGAGATTATTATGCACGAACATCACATAATAACAAAGATGGATGGGAAAACCACGTCACATAAAAGTGAAGTTATAATAACATGATCTTTCTATCCATTGTTGTTTGTACATCTAGAAGTCCGCACGTAATAATTTTTCCACTCACTTTACTGTTATTTTGTACCAGTAAAACAATATAAAACACACATACACATATACATACCCCATTTACATACATACCATGCAATTGTTGTGTATTTAACACCCAAACTTTCATATTTACATGCATATCACTCAAATCCTTAAAATGACATCAAAAAGAGCACTTTTGTATTTAAGAAGTGAAGTACAATCTTTCATGGATAAATTTATGACACCAAATACCCAAAGTGTTATAAACATAAATATAAAAATTTAGGTGTTATAACCTTTTGCCCAATACCTAAAAAAATCAAATATTTAGTGATTTTACCCCTGATTTTAACACCCATAACCTATGCTTAACAACTAATTTAATTATAAGAATTTTCAAACCAAAGATTCATCAAGGAGAAGGCAGTCATGTGCTCTCCTTTATAATGATGGATGCTGTCAAAGGGAGCATGCCGGAATGTCAAGAAAAATTAAATGAAGATGAAGAATAATGCATCAAAGAATACAATTACAAGTCAAACAAGTTTATGCAAAAGATAAAATATTTTACTGAACTTTAGAAGATGAAAACATCAAGGACTTCTTTTCATACATGCATGTGTAAAAATAGACCTTTTTTATTTCATCAGGAGTTTGATGATACATTTTTGTTCTTATTAGAGGCAAAGAATAGAATAGATGAGTTTCATGCATCTACTATGACAAATATCATAACTTATTTCTTCTTATTCCATGATGCATGGTTTTTAATTCACCCAAGGCTTTGTTGTGGGAGAGATAATATGGCCAAGAATCCCAAGAAGTTATTTCTAGTGTAATAACATTTCAAGTTTGAACATGTTAGAACATTTAGAGCGATATAAAGATGTGAGTTATATTATGTTATGATAAAATCTCACACGCATAAAAATAGTGATAAAGTTGCCATGATCAAAAGGTTATAACACTTCGGGAAATAAAAAAAATGGCATAAATTCTTCAAATAATTAGGTCTTTTGGCTCACCTGTCAGATGTCAAACAACCAAGTATTCAGTAAAAACC